TGCATTTTAATTCCTAGGGCCTGCTGTAGACCAGTAAATGAAAATTTATGGTTGGGGCCCAGCACATTAGGGCAGACAGGAATCAATAGGGATATCTTCTGCTTAAGATAAAAATGATTTTTCCTGGCTTTTAGGTAATATCTTCATTTTTATTTTTGTGTTAATTCTTTAGGGGCCTGACTTACAAGGAATCTGGGGTAGACATTGCAGCTGGAGATATGCTTGTCCAAAAAATTAAGCCTTCAGCAAAAGCCACCTCCAGACCAGGTAAATCAGATTCCTGTACTTTGCTAGTTCATTAGCTTTGGCAAACATTGTGAATTGATTTGGGCTTTGTAGTTTCCTGAGGAAAATGTTCCAAGTTAATGCCAGGTTAAGCCAAACTCATAGTCTTTGTATTTTCTTATTTCTAATATTGAGAAAAGCATTTCTTTTCCATGACATTAAATACAAAAAGATTTGTCTGCCCTTTAATACTTAATTACTTCCTTGATTGATTCTTTTAGCATATAATACCCTCTCCCATTCTCAGGAAAGGCATCTCTTGTTTTAGCCAGTCTTAGGAAGAATAGGTTTATATTCATGTTTAACTAATCTATTGAAATGCAGCAAGTAATTAATTCCTCTCCAACAGGCTGTGATGTTGATCTTGGAGGTTTTGCTGGTCTTTTTGATCTGAGAGCAGCTGGTTTCAAAGATCCTCTTCTGGCCTGTGGAACAGATGGTGTTGGAACTAAACTGAAGGTAATCAGACACCTATGTGAGTAAAGGCCTTTTGTGAAACATAAGAATTTACTGTGTATAAAATACGCACTTTTCCCCTCTTGACATATATGTACTAAACCATACCATATAACCATATAGTATGGCTAATATATCTAAATGTTTCTGACAACACTATTATTGGTATATCTGGATGGAGGGGTGATTTTAATGCATAAAAGGGGATCCTTTTGAACCACATAGCTTATCAGCATTAAGTGTTCTTTTGTCTTTAGGTGTTCAGAGCAGCTAGCCAAAAGTCAATAATATTTGTGAGCCTCCATTGAGAAATGGGCAATTATAATTTGGAGCTTATTCTATTATGTGGACATGCATCTTGTATTTCCATAGATTGCCCAGCAGTGCAACAAGCATGATACCATTGGTCAAGATTTGGTTGCAATGTGTGTAAATGATATTCTGGCACAAGGAGCAGAACCCCTCTTCTTCCTTGATTACTTTTCCTGTGGAAAACTTGACCTCAATACAACTGAAACTGTTGTCACTGGAATCGCTAAAGCTTGTGGAAAAGCTGGATGTGCTCTTCTTGGTAAGATCATCCTTTTGAACCATGCATCCTTCCTCTTCCTGTATTTTAGCCTGGTGTGTAAACATGATCAATACCAATATAGCTAACAAAGAAACTATATCACTAGATGAGGCAAATAAAGATAACACAACCTGAAGAAAAGTTAGACCCTGGTACCCTCTACCGCTCTTCCCCAGACTTATATGCCAGGCCTTATCCTTCTCCCTGATCTTCGGTCGATATTTCTAGTACTCTCTTTCTCAAAGGCCTCCTGGACAGACAGGGTAGGGGTTATTTCCTCCCTACTGGCCCTACAACAGAGGCAGATGGGTTTTTGGCATTCTGAATCTTAGGCCTCATTTTCTCACAGAAGTGACAATAAGAATAAAGGGTACCCAAGGTTCATAGAAATATTGCTTAAATATATATGAGAATTTTGAGCAAAGTGAATTTGTAGGTTGACCAATGAACAAAAAAAGTACCTCTAATATTATTCTTTCTATGGAAAAATCTGCCAAAAGCCAAAATTGCCTTTTCATCCATCTTTTTGAAAAGTTTCTAATTTGGAAT